TCTGGAGGGAGAAGGAGAGCCCTTGTCCATGCGCCTCGTGATCATGACAGGCGCAGTCACTGGAAAAATCCGCTGCCAACTGCAGCGCCAGAGCTGGGGCCTCTTGGGCCCTCGATCGTGTATGCGAGCCTCGCATTGGCTCACTCAGATGAGGTCCTTCTCCGTGTACGTGCCCGTGGTCGTCGTAGTCTGCGTGACCCACGGGTCTCCGCTGCTGCTCTGTGCTCCGCCTCCGCCCTGAGCGCCGGAGCTCATGTTCGGCGTCACGTGCCAGTCCTGCGGGGCGTCGAGGTCGAAGTGCTGAGGCCCCGTGCTGCTCGCTGCTGCAGCCGAGGCCGCCTGCCGCAGCCACCGGTTCTGGTTCTCGACCAGGCCCTGCACGGCGGTGCCGATGGACACCATCATCATCACCATCTGGTTGGTGGCCTGTTCGATGTTCCCGGTGCGGGACACCAGGTTGTCCAGCGTGGTCTGGACGAAGTCGAGGTTCTCTCCGAATGACTCCATGGATCCCAGCACCCTCTGTATCGTGATCAGAGCCTGATGGATCTGGAGGAGGCCCTCCTCCACCTGGCTCGGATGACTCTGCACGCTCTGAGCCACCTGGATCATCTGGTTGAGCGTCTCCTGCACGTTGCCGAGGGCCCTCAGACCCTCCGGAATGTTGCGCAGCTGCCAATGCAACGCCTGCAGGTAGCTCGGGAGCTGGTTGACCATGGTGAGAGCTGCCGCCCCCAGCTGGAAACCGTCCGCCTCCTGAAGGATATCCACAGCCCTCTGGGCCGACCTGGCCGCAGCACGGGCTGCCTGAGCAGCCGACTCCGGACGATCGTCTGGTCCTCCAGGTCCCTGTCCGGCCGCGCCTGCAGCCCCCCTCGGTATCCAAGCGATTCTGGTACCGCATGCTCGACACTTGGAACCGCTTCCCCACTGGTTCCCGTAGTATTGGACCTGATCGGCTGGATGGGAGCACTCTGCAGCCGGAGTCGAGCGATCGTTCGAAGGCGGTGCCGCCTGTTGGCCCCCGATCGGAATGGGAGCTGGACCGCCCTGCTGGGGAGGAAGCCTGCCCGTCCGCGGGAATGGCTTCGGGAGCGGCGACAATGGCAGTGGCGGTGGTGCTGGCTTCGTCAGCACGGGCGCCGGCTTCACGGGAATGGTCGGTGCACCCGCGGCCTGAGGAGGCGCCTGTGCGGCCGCTGGGGGCCCCTGCGGCCCGCTGCTCGCTGAAGGCTGCTGCTGCTGTGGGGTAGTCGTTGTTCCCGGCTGGGGCTGCGCCCGACCCTGACCTGCCACCACCTCGGGTGGGGGATAAGGCGGCGGTGGCGGCTGGTACCCGAGCCCCTGGGGAGCGAGGCTCACCGGCGCTGGCTGGGGTGGCAGCTGTCCCGCTGCCTCCTGATTCGGAGTCGGTACCACGTGAGCCGCTGCCTGCTGATCCTGCTGAGCGAACCCCTGCTCGCCTGCCGCGTCGGTGTCGGAGTCCGTCTGTACCAGCGGACTCTGCTCTCCACCGTCGCCGCCAACGCCCGCCAAGTACTGCTGGTGGAGCTCCTGCAGCGCCCGCTGAGTCGCGTGGTAGGCGCCTGGGAGCTGACGAGGAGCTGGAGAGGGCGCCGCTGCCGCCCCGGTGAGGAAAAGGAACCAAGCCCAGAGCCTCTGGGCCATTGCTGGATGCCGACTGGGACTCTGATTGATCGGTGATCGAGTCAACGGAGTCTGACTGATGGCTCGAGCCAAGATGGGCTACGGACTCGCTCTCTGCCGGAGGTGTCCCGGATCGTCGGGACTGGGTCCTTGTCGCAGCCCTTGCTGGCCATATCGCCTGAGTTGCCCCAATGGATCTGACGCTAAGCCCCCGAGACGCTAGCTGAGCCCCAGACTGAGAGAGCCCGAAGGGCTCGTACTTGATCCCCATCCGGTGCATGGCCATCATGAGGCCGATCCCCACGACAAAGGCACTGATCCCCGAGACAACCCTCTCGTAGGCCCTCTCGAGGCTCATCATCCGGGCGCCCATTATCACGAACGGGATGACGGCAAGAGTGATGATGACCAGGATGATGTAAGCCCTCAGGGCTCCCGACTCGAGCATCTCTGGCGCGTCGCCAGCGTTCAACTGAAACGAATTCTGTGAAAGAAAAGGGTACTTTCGCAGTGCAGACTCCGGCACACCCAGCGGCATCTCAAGCGCCTGTACAATCGTGGCCATCCGGTGGCCCGAACCAAGACGTGTCAGCTGGATGTCCGTCTCTAGGGTGGCGGAAGTCATCTTGTTCTGGGGCAGGTCGATGACGCAGCCCAGAAACTCCAGGAGGTTGACCGACAAAATGTGCGGCACCTCCTCCAGCAGCACCGTCGTCTCGATGATGCCGAGCACTCCTCCCATGCACAGCGGGAAGAGAACCGAAGTCACCACCCTCGCGGCACCTCCTACGCCATGAGCAGCGCGGGGCCGCTGATGCTGTCGAGGAATCAGCTCGTACTTCATGCCGACTGCGGCGAGAGCCCTTGACTCCCGGTTCAGCGCCGCGAGCCCGACCAGGTCTGAGCCCGCTCCTGGGCCCACCAGCCCCTGGGTCGCCCTGGCCACGAGGTACACGCAGCTGTTGTCCAGCAGCTCCTTGCCGACCTCCTTCCAGTCCTGCAGGGTCTCTGGGGACACCGCCCACGAGCCTGCTGGGTCTGACACGACACCGTCGAACGTGTACGCAGCCAGGCCCCGCTTCTTGAACTTGGGGTCGTCCTTGTTGGGGCACTCGCGGTGCCAGTGCCCCTTCTCCTTACATATCCCGCATCGGGTGATCTTCATCAGCTGCTCGGGAGAAAGCCTGGGGCGGCGCCCCTTGCCACGGCCTGTGCCGCGGTCCGGCCGCCCGCGGCCGCCACCCCCCGGTCGCGGGAGAGGCGGGCGCCCCGGTCCAGTCTTCTTGGGGCCGAAGTACTCCCTGTCGCGCTTCGCAGCGCGCTTGATCTCCTTATTCTGCTTCCAGGTACGGCTCGAAGGTCGAGACTCGATCATGGCCAGGGCCTCCTCCACCTGCGTCTCGTCCAGGTCGAGGTCCTCGAGCTCTGCCATGAGCGCAGCCTCGTCGTCCAGCTCGGTGTCGTCGCCCTCCTCCTCGTCGTCTTCCTGGTCGTCGGAACCTTCTGAACCACCGACCGGGAAGGAGGAGGGAGGGAGATAATTCTGATCGCCGGGGCCCTCGCCCTCGGCGTAATTGCTCGACACCCTACCTGGCAGGAGCCGCTCAGAACCTGATGCATCCATTTGCCTCAGGGCCCAGCTCACGTCGCCGTACTCGAGCTTCCCTCGAGTGAGCGTTCTGAGATTCTGCATGCCTTGGGCCGTGAGATTGGCTCCTTCCTCCAGCATGAGCCCCTTCATCTTGGAGGAAATCCAGGTCGTTCGTCTCGGCCTCTTGAAATTGAGCTTCACGACGACTCACGTACTGAATGAGCATCTCTTTGTTCTCGCGAGACGCCTCGAACAGAGCTCGGCGGCCTGCCCGCCGAAGTTCGTCTCCCTCGCGTTCACCTATCATCAAGTCCATACGGCCCAACACCACGTCGATCCAGTCGCGGCCCGTGATCTGGGCCTCCGGGATGTCGTCGAACTTAGCCTGCATGGCGTAGTCGAAGAGCTTCAAGAACTTTTCTCCTCGCCGCCAGTGGGGAACGTCCGTGTTCGTGTTCCAGCGTCGTAGTGCACGGCGCCAGGGTCTGTACTGAGCCCATCCGGGCCACGCTGGTGGGTCGGAGTAGTCCCCCTTTCCCCAGCTGGAGCTGGAGTTCGCCCACCAGCCGTCCTGCCACTTGTCACTCTGGCCGGAGTTCTTCCAGCCATCGTCCTGCCACTTGTCGTCCTTGTCGCCTGGCTTGCGCCAGGACTGCGACGGGTCCTTGCCGGAGCTCCAGGGATCCGATGTTGCTGCTGCCTCCCACCAAGGATCCTTCGGCCTCCCGTCGATATCATCACCGTCTGTTGCTGTCTTCCGAGAGGAAGAGCCGGCCGCGCCAGCCGTCTCGGCAGCTGTGCCGGACGGTCTTGCAGCGCCCATGGTCTCACGTACAGTGCCGGCCACGATCTCTCGGAGCTGGTCCATGGAAATCGTCACGATGTTGCCTGCCGCCGGCGTCGCCTCCGCCGATGCCTGCCCGCTGGGGCGGGCTGGGTCGAAGGTCGCGCCAGCGAATCCGTCGTCCTCCTCCGCGGGCATCTCCGCGGCCGCGCCGCCCGGGCGGCGCGGGCCTGGCCCTGGCCGGGAGCGCGAGAGCGGCCTCCGGGCGCAGCCCTCAGAGCTGCTGTCCCTCGCCGCCCATTGGCCCGCCAGCCTGGAACCAGGCTCCGCTACCAACTGTGGCAGCAGCAAGCGCAGTAAATGTTTTTCCCTTGAGCCAACAAGAGTACGCGTGAGATCATGACACGCACACTATATGCAAAACCTGAGACACAAATTATGCTCACCTGTTTCACTGGCCCACTGGGGGCTCGGGGTGCGCAAGGCCCCCGCCCTCCAAGAGAGCGGCCCAGCCCGGGGTCAAGCTCACAGCTGCCGCCACTCCCAGGGGAAGCGAGAGCCGAGGAAGCCTTTGGAGGAGGAGGAGGAGGAGGAGCAAGAGGAGGAGGAGGAGGAGGAGGAGGAGGAGGAGGAGGAGGAGAGAGGAGGAGGAGGAGGAGCAGGAGGAGGAGGAGAGAGAAGGAACGAGTGAGGAGGAGGAGGAGGAGCAGGAGGAGGAGGGAGAAGGAGGGAGGAGGAGGAGGAAGGAGGAGGAGGAGCAGGAGGAGGAGAGGGAGGAGAGGGAGGAGGGAGGAGGAGGAAGGAAAAGGAAAGGAGAGGGGAGAACTCCTCCCCCCCTCGGCTGGGCGCGTTGGCCGCTCGGCCCGCCGCTCGTCGTCGTCGTCGTCGTCGTCGCCGTCGTCGTCGTCGTCGTCGCCGTCGTCGTCGTCGTCGCCGTCGCCGTCGCCGCCGTCGTCGTCGCCGTCGCCGTCGCCGCGCCTCCCCCAGCAGCACGGGCGCGCCGAGCAGACAGGCGGCCGAGAGGCCCCCGTCGGCGTTGCCGCCCGCGGCGCCGCCCGGCGGGGGCGCCGCGGATCCTGCGGAGGGGGGGGGGGTCGCATCCCCAGCCCACAGCAGTGCCCAACATAGGGGGGCCACGCGCGAACCCTGCCCCTACCCCCCACGATTTCCGAGGGGGAGGGTGGGGTTCACTTCGCTCGGGAGCTCCCGGCTACATATAGGTGAGCACCGTCCGGGAACTGGCAAAGACCAACAGACAGCGGGCTGCCCGCGCGCGGTGCACTGGACACTGCGGCACGTAATCGAACAGCAAGAAGAATGTCTTTGCTTTTCTTTTTCTTCTACGAAAAAAAAGGAAAGAAGGAGGAAAGGAGGAAGAGGAGAAAGAGGAAGGAGGAGGAGGAGGAGGAAAGGAGGAGGAAAGGAGGAGGAAGAGGAAGGAGGATGAGGAGGCAAGAAGAATTTCTCTGGTATGTATAACGTTTCTCTGGACCCGTGAGGACCTCGGCGGGTGCCTCTGGATGCTTGCAAGGACCTCTGGGGACGCCTGGCAGCCTCCAGACGTGCCATCCACCTGCAGAATGTGCAGCCGCACGCCGTTCGAGGGATGCGCCTTGACCCGAATTCCAGGGGGGAACCTGGCCGTGCCGACGAGACAACCGACGGAGGCCGAAAATCGCGGTAAGGATGTTTCAGGAGGAAAAGGACCTAATGCACAATATGGCTCAAGGTGCTGCACAACGTACAAAACATGCTGGCCTACGTGGGCCCCAAACAATTTGCTGATTAGCCATCGGTGCCGTGCACTTTATGTGGAGCAACATGTGTGGCGCCTTCTAGTTGGCACAATATATGTTGTGCAGCCTATGCTGTGCCATCTATGTTGCGCAATGTATGTTGCGCAGTCCATGTGGAGCAATCTATATGGCGCAATTCACCTTGTCGAACTTGACATTGTCAACTCCACTGCTCGCGCAATCATCCCACCCACCCTTCCGCAATTTGGTTTGCAAAAACACGCGGCGGCGATTGCGATGAGTGTTTTGTGTTGGCTGGTGCATCTCTGCGGCCGCGCTAGCCCGCGCACACTCGCGCGCGCAGCGGCCAACTACTTTGGCGCGACCGACGCAAACGCGGTATCATGGCAACGTCGACGACGGTTGACACGATGATGGTCGTAGCGATGCTGGTGACGATGTTGACACCAACGACGACACGGCCAGTGACGGCGCCGATGCTGATCACGCCGACGACGATGACGGCGTCCTCGCGTCGGCGATGAAGGTTTGTGAAGGAGTTCGACATGCGCGCGCGGCCGACGCGCGAGAGGGGCCCGCATGGTACTATTTGACATTGACCGTGCCCCCCCCCCCAGCAATTGGCATGCGGCGCGAAAGACCCGTGTGGCAGAATGCTATGATAATGTTTAGATGACTGGTGAATTTCTCAAGAATTCGCAAAGAACGCGAGCGCTGGTTTTTTTGAAAACTGATGTTGCGAAACCCTATTTATTGTTACGGTTTCGCGACGTTCGGTTTTCACGTCCTTGCGAAAGCAAAGGTTTTTGAAACATCTCGGCATGCGCGCGCGACGACGCGCGCGCGTGCCCTTCGTCCCGTTTTCTGCAAAAGGATTCTCGCGACAGCACGCCCGCAAGGGCGTTCGAAGGATTTCGACATGCGCGCGCGAAGCCCGTATGGAATTTCCCTGACATTTTGAAAAATCCATGGTTTTCTTAAGAACTCGCCAGAGCGCGCGCGCGCAAGTGCTCTTTTTGAAAGACCGTGTTGCGAAACCTGTTGCTTTCATGTGCTTTTTGGGCACTCGATCGCTTAAAATCCTTACGAAACCGAAGGTTCTTGAAGGATGTCGGCACGCATGCGCGACAACGCGCGCGTGCGCAATTCGTCCCATGTTTGCAAAGGGTTCTTGGAAATTGATGATGTTTGATAAACGGGCGCGCGAGCATAGCATTTCTCCAGAGGATGACGGGGGGGGGGGGGCGATACCGGCCTGGATGGGATGGTACGAGCTCATATTTAGGATGGACGATGGGGCAGAGTCATATGCAACTTGCAATACGAGAAAAAAAGGGCCCGAGAATGCCGGGGGGAGGGTCGAGGCTACGCTCTTTTAAAAAGAGAGGAGAATATGTTCTGGATCCCGCCGTGTGAAACATCCTCAAAAAAATGCTAACTGGCTGGTTGGTTGGTCGGCCGGTTGGTTGGCCGGCCGGTTGGTTACTTGAACGGTTGGTTGTTCGATGGCCAGTCGGCTGACTGGTTGGCTGGTCGGGGGCCGAGCGCACTCCGCAAGCGGTTGCAGCCGCCGCGGACTCTCCCCGACAGACGAGGAACAAGCGTCCGTTTGGACGCCCGAAATGGGCACGGAAAGAATGGGCACAATGCCCAACAGCAAATGTTGTCCCAATCCAACGGCGGCCGCTGTTGGGCAGGCGGCCTTCTGTCTCGAATGGAGACAGGCCGCGGCGGCGCGGACAGCGAGTCCTGCTCAAAATGAGCAAGAACTGCTGTTTGGGCATCGTACCCCTTCTTTCCGGACCCATTTCGGGCGCCCAGAGTCCGAGGCTCCGCACACCTTTTGGGAGCTGGCGCCGGCGACCCGCACGCCGCGCGGGCTGCGGCGTCGAAGCCGCCCGCCCTCGGAGTCCGGGGGCGGGTGCCCCGCCAGGCTCTTGCCGGCGCCGCGGCGTGCCCGGCGGCCTGCCGCAGGGCAGGGCATGCACAGGGTGGCCGCCGGACGCCCGTCGGGAGGTGCTGTCTCGCTGCTCCTGCCGCCACCCGCAGCTCCCGCTGCCACTTTTCGCCTTAACAGTCGGGGCGTTGACCTCAGGAACGACAAATAAGGAACGGGGCCCCTTCTTCCCGCAAGTGAAACTCCGATTTCCCGTCGAAGGCCAAAGGAAAACCCAAGGCAAACTGTGAAGCAATCGAGGAACACCGAGCCCCTCCCCTACGGAAAGGGTTCCTTCTGCAGGGCCCCGACTGTATCACACGTGCATGTTTGGAGGAGGCGCAAAGGGGAAGAGAACGAGAGAGAGGCGGAGGGTGGCTCAGCCAGGGGTCAGGATATGACTACCTACCAGACCACCCCAACCCAACCCGAAGACCCGAATTTCGGGTTGGGGGGGGAAGGGTTCCACGTGTGTTTTTTCTATGTTTCCCGACCCCCCCCCACTGGAAATCGAGTGTAAATCTGAGCCTTCGGGTTGGGTTGGGGTGGTTTGGTGGGTGGTGACTAAGGGGAAGAGGACGAGAGAGAGGCGGAGGGTGGCTCAGCCAGGGGTCAGGATACTGACTGGGGGCGGGCCAGCGCGCTGTGCCCACTCCCCTGTTGCTCCTGCCTCGGGTTGGCATCTTCCTGGAGAAGTTCGACGACGACGAGCAGCGCAGAAGAGAGGAGATCGAGAACCAATCAAGAGACAGGGGGAGAGGGGTAGCAGAAGGGGGCGGAGGGGGAAGACACGGGAAGGAGACAACGGGAGTCGGGGAACCCTGGCGCGCCGCGCCGCGTGCCTTCCGGGCACGTGTTTCAAGGGCCGCCAGGACGCGTCGGCTCGCCCTGCCACGTGCCACGTGGTCGCGAATGCCAAGGGCAGCGGAACACTCGTGGCAGCTGCGTCGGTTCGTGCCACCTCCTGCATCTTCTGCTCTTAGGAGAGCTTGGCCAACAGCTCGGACGCATGCTTCTTCAGCTGTTCCGCCTCCGCCTCCGCGGCCAGCAGCGCCAGCGCTGGCTGCCATTGCTCGTCCTTCTCGCACGCACTGATCGCAGCGCTGCAGCTGATGACGTCGGGTTCTAGCTTCGCATTCCGTATCTCGCACAGCAGCGCCAAAGCCCGCTGCCACGGCTCGCCCTTCCCGCACGCGCTGACCCCAGCACTGTAGCTGACTAGGGCTGACCCGCGGCCTTCCGGCCGCGGAATCTGCCCGCCATGGCGTGGACGTGGAAGTGGAGCGTCTCGGGGGCCTCGCGGGGGGGGGAGGTTGGAGGGGACGGCATGGATGGAGGATGTGGCCGCTGGAGGGCGAGGTAGGCGAGGGATGCAGGCAGGCAGGCCTGAAGGCAGGAACGCGATGGTGGAGGCGGTATCAATGGACGCACACCCATGCACGACATGATGTAGCTGTTTCTCACGCCGCGCTCTGTGTTCGTAATAATTATTGCAGGGCGGGTCGCCGTGATAATTGTATCTGCTCTTCGCCAGGGCCGAATGATAGTTTTATCTGGTAGTGCGGTGAGAATGGGACTGGTGGGCGCGGCCTAAGAGGCCCGCAAGAAGGCGCCGAGACGGCCCAAGAAGTCTCCGGGACGGGCCAAGAGGCTTCCAAGACGGCCCAGGAGGGCCCCACGAACTCCCTAAGACGGGCCTCAATGCGAGGACACGAAGCGACCGTTCGAGCGCACCGCCCCCAAACGTCCCCAAAAAAGCCTAGAGATGGCTCCCAGAGGGTCCAAAAAGTCCCCAAGACGACGCTGGAAGTTCGACGCTCCTCAACAGGAAGCATTCTCGGGGGCCGTTTTTCGTCCTGCTGGGGGTCTCTCGGGGCCCTCTTGGGCCATCTGGAGTGCCTCTTGGGCCGTCTTGGGGCCCTGTCGGGCCGTCTTGGGCGCCTCTGGGGCCATCTTGGGGCCGTCTTGGGGCCATCTTGGGCCGTTATTGGGCGCTCTTCGGGTTGTCTTGGGTGTCTGTTAAGCCGTCTCGGGCGCCTCTGGAGCCGTCCCGGGGCACTCGGGCCGTTTGGGTGCCCTCCTCGGGGCGTCTTCGGGCGCTCTTGGGGCCTTGAGTGGGCGTATGGGGGCCCAGGGCTCGGAATGCCAGGGTTTTTCCCTGTTCTTTGGGCCCCTCTTGGGCCTGGCTTGGGCCTCTTGGGCCATCTTGGGGCTCACTGGGCCGTCTGGGGACGCGCTTGGAGGCCTGTTGGGCCGTCCTGGGGCGGTCTTGTGGGTCTCTGCGGCCGTCTTGGAGCGTCGGCTAGCCGAGAAGGCGAGAAGGCAAAACTCCTTCAAACACCATTGAAAAATTAAAGATTTGGGCCTCTGGGGGCATGCTTCGGAGGACTGTGGGTTGATGGGGGCCTCTTGGGCGCTGCTTGGACCCTCTTATGGCCACTTCGGCGCGTCTTTGGGCGGAGGGCTCGATCTGTGACGCTCGGGGGCCAGGATCTCCGTGAGGGGTGCCGGAAACATGGGATACCTTGGGCCGTCCTGGGAGCCTCTTGGTGTCGCCCTGGGGCAGTTTGGGCGCCTCTTGGGCTCTCTTGACGCCCTCTCGGGCCGGTTTTCGTGCGTCTTGGGGGCCTCTTGGGCCGTCTTGGGGCGGTCGTGGGGACCTGGAACCAGCTTCTGCGCCATATTCCCGACAAGCAGCGCATGCTAAAAGTGAGCGTTTTTCTTCTGGAAAACAATGAGTTTCGCCTCTGGGGGCCATCCTTGGACGCCTCTTGGGCGTCTCTGGGGCCGTCGTGGAGGCCTCCTGGGCCGTCTTGGGTTGTTTTCGGCGGTCTTGGGCTCTCTTGGAGCGCTCTTGGGCCATCTCGGGGGTGTCTGGGGCCGTCCTGGGCGCCTCCTGGGAGCCTCTTGGGGCCGCCTGGGGCCCGTGTTGGGCGCCTCTTGGGTCTCTTGACGCTCTCTCGGGCCCGTTTTCGTGCCTCTGGGGTGCCTCTTGGGCCGTCTTGGGGCGGTCGTGGGGACCTCTTGTCCCATCTTGTGCGCCATATTCCCGACAAGCAGTGCGTGCTAAAATTAAACGTTTTTCGTTGGAAAAACAATGATTTGGGCCTGTGGGGGCCATCCTGGGACGCCTCTTGGGCGTCTCTGGGGCCGTCGTGGAAGCCTCCTGGGCCTTGTCGGGGCCGTTGTCGGCGGTCTTGAGCTCTCTTGGAGCGCTCTTGAGCCGTTTTGGGGGTGTCTGGGGCCGTCCTGGGCGCCTCTTGGGCCGCGTGAGCGCCTCTGGAGCGTCCCCGGACCCGTTGTGACTTATTTTCACTCGATCAAGACAGGGACCCTTCCCGCACGCACGGGTCCCTGCAGTGTAGAGAAGACTAGGGCGAACCCGTGAACTACGTCCACGACAGCTGGTTGATTTTGTTACTGGGGCGTGCGCGGCAGTAAGCACGAACGACGATATCATGTGACTGCAAGATGGCCCCAGAAGCCTTCCAAGACGGGACTTTTATCCTGCCGTAAGAAGTCGCACGGCCGGAAAGAACTACTGGAAGAAAGGTACGCCCTGGCCGTATCCCAAGGCCTTCGTCTCCCAGCCGTAAGGCCGACGACGTTGGGCGACTCTCGGGCATCTCGGGCTGCCTTGGGGCCGTCTTGGGCCGTCTTGGTCCGCTCTTGGAGCCCTCTACGGCTCCTCCTGGGCTGTCTTGGGGGCCTGTTCGGCCGTCATGGGTCGGTCTGAAGCGGTCTTGCAGCCATGGAGGGGCCCTGTGTTCCTCTTGGGGCCGTGAATGGGCGAGGGATCCATGGCAAGCGAGAAGGCCCGCGCCGTGCTTCAGGAACTTGCCCGAGGTGGCTCATGGCGCTCTTCGCTCTTGGGAGCCTTGGTGTAAAGGGCTGGTTGCGTCACCACTCGTTATTGGAAGTTGTGGCTTTCAGAGTTTTTGACGTTGCGGCTCGCTCTCGGGAGCCTCGGGTTGAAGAACTTGTTGTGTCACCGTTCGCTCTTGGGAGCCTTGGATTGAAGAGCTTTTTACTGTACCGACCGCTCTTTTACTTGACGTCTGTGCGCCTTCTCAGTGGTCCTCGTGGGGGACTTTTTGGGGCCCTTCAGGGGCCCTTTTGGGCCGTCCTGGGGCCGTTTTGGGACGTCTTGGGGCCCGTCTGCCATCACGGGGCGTCTTGGAGGCCGTGGACCGTCTTGGGGCTCTCTGGAGGGTTTCCTGGGGCCGTCTTGGGAGCCTCTTCAGGCCCTTTTGGAGCGCTCTTGGGGCCCTCTCAGGCCTTTTGAGGGCGCCCTTGGGCCATCTTCGGGCCCTCTTGCACCGTATTGAGGCCCTCTTGGGGGCCGCTTGGGTCGTCTTGGGGAGTTTGGAGGGGCCTCTTGGCCTATCCTGGACCGTGTAACAACGCAAAAGGCGGAGATGCTGAACATGTACGTTTTCCCATCGGAATGTGACCATTTCTGCCTCTTTTGCATCCTCTCGGGGCCCTCTCGGAGCGTCTTTGGAGCCTCTTGGACAGTCTTGGAGCCACCTTCTGAGGTCGTTGGGGCCTTGAGGCCCGTCTCGGGACCCACTGAGGCCGTCTTAGACCGCTATTGGATGGTCTGGGAACCCCTCTGGAGCGCCTCTGGGACCGGCCTGAGCGATTCGGCCCCGTGGTGGCGCCGTAAAAGGGCGATTTTGTGCACTTGAGGCCCTGGGCTTCTCGCACGCGCTTCCACCGGCCATGTAGGAGAGACTAGGGCTGACCCGCGGCCTTCTGGCCGCGGAAATGGAATGTCTCCAGGGCCTCGCGGGGGGGTGGCCAGGGAGGAGGGCGAAGAGTCACAAGTTGGACGGTGAAGGTGATCGCAGGAGGGAAGGTAGGTGAGGGATGCAGGCGAGCAGGCAAGACCGCAAGTACGCCGTGGTGGAGGTGGTGGCAACGTGAGCACACCCATGTAGATGTAGGCTCGAGATGGTGTGGGGATGTGCTGTTTGCCGCGCCGTGCGCGGTGCTGATAGCAGCTGCTGCGGGGCGGCTGGTCGTGATAACTAGATCTGCTCGCACCCACTGGTAATTTGATTCCCCCCTCCTCCTCCACCTCCTCCTCCTCCTCCTCCTCCTCCTCCTCCTCCTCCCGCCCCTCCCTCCTCCTCCTCCTCCTCCTCCTCCTCCTCCTCCTCCTCCTCCCTCCTCCTCCTCCTCCTCCTCCTCCTCCTCCTCCTCCTCCTGGCCCTCCTCCTGCTCGGTCGCTGGGTGGCCAGACGGCCTGGGAGGCCCCGAAGGGGACAACCAAGGGGGGTCCCGACGTCCGCCCTCCCCGCTGCCTCTGCGGGTGGCCCCGCGATCGGCCCCTCGCCTCTCGTCCGCCCCCCTCTATCAGAGGCCACGTTGAGGCCATGTACCTCTTGGGGGCGGCTGCGGGGCCTCTGTTTGGCCTCCCGGGGCTCTCTTGGGGCTCTCCGGGGCCGTCTCGGGTGCCTCTCGGATCGCCTCTCGTCCGCCCGCTCGACCAGAAGCAACGTTGAGGACACATACCTCTTGGGGGCCGTCTGGAGGCCTCTTTTCGGCCTCCTCTCCTGGGGGTCTCTTGGGGCCCTCTTGGGCTGTCCTGAATGCTATTTGGGCCGTCTTGGGGCCATATGGGGGCGTCTTGGGCGCCTCTGGGGCCGTCTTTGGGGGCCGTCTTGGGCCATATTGGCAGCTCTTGGGGCTGTCTTGGGTGCGTCTTGGGCCGTCTTGGGGGGCCTCCGGAGCCGTCCCAGAGCCGTGTGGGGCTGTTTCGGGGCCTCTGGGCGCGTCTTGGGGCAAGCAAGGAAGCCTGTATAGCCGTCTTGGACGCTGCGAGAACGAAAAAACTGAACATTGTGAACATGTGCGTTTCCTGGAGGGAATGGGACGATGTTGGCCTCTTGGGGCTCTCCTGGAGGCCCTCCTGGGCCGTCTTGGTAGCCTCCTGGCCTGCCTTGGGGGCCTCTGGGGCTGTCTTGGGGCTCCCAGGGGTGCTCTGAGGCCGCCTTGGCGCGCTCTCGAGCCTCTCGGAGCCGTCTGAAGCCGTTTTGGGGGCATCTGGACCCCCCTCTAAGCCGTTTTGGGGTCGGAACCACTGGTCAAGACAGAGGCCCTTCTCGCACGCAGAGGTCGCTGCATCGTGGAAGAGACTAGGGCTGACCCGCGGCCTCCCAGCCGCGGAATCTGCCCGCCATGGTGTGGACTCCGGACTGGGGCCGCTCAGGCGCCTGGTGCACGGGAGGGTCACCGATAGGACGCTGAAGTAACTGTCCATTCGGTTTACTTGGGCTGCGCGTTAGAAGCCTTCTCTGGGTGTCTGGACACTCTTGGGGCCTTCTTCGGGGCATGCTCGGGACATCTCTGTGGCTCCTATCGGCTTGTGGGCAATTTTGGGCGCCCTCCTCGTCCTCCCCTGGATCATTCATCCCGTCGATCTTCGTTCTGAGCAGCCGTCTCGGTATCTGGACCCTCTTGGGGCTTCCTTCGGGTCATGCTCGGGACATCTCGGTGGCTTCTATCGGCTTTGGGGGCCATTTTGGAAGTTCTCCTCCTCCTCCTCCTCCTCCTCATCCTCCTCCTCCTCCTCCTCCTCCTCCTCCTCCTCCTCCTCCTCCTCCTCCTCCTCCTCCTCCTCCCTCCCTCCTCCTCCTCCTCCTCCTCCTCCTCCTCCTCCTCCTCCTCCTCCTCCTCCTCCTCCTCCTCCTCCTCCTCCTCCTCCCATCGATCCTTCATCCCGTCGATCTTCGATCGTCAGTCGTCGACGCTCCCTAAGAGACAAGCATCCAAGGCCTCTTGGGGGCCGTTTGGAGGTCTCTTTTCGGCCTCCTCTCCTGGGGGTCTCTTGGGGCCCTGTTGCGCTGTCCTGAATACCATTCGGGCCGCTTTGGGGCCATATGGGGGCGTCTTGGGCGCCTCTGGGGCCGTCTTTGGGGGCCGTCTTGGGGCCATCTTGGGCTGTTATTGACCGCTCTTGGGGCTGTCTTGCGTGCCTCTTGGGCCATCACGGGCGCCTCTGGAGCCGTCCCGGGGCCGTCTCGGGCCGTTTGGGGGCCCTCCTGGGTGTCATTTGGGGCCGTCCTGCGGCAATGCTGGGGGCATGTACAGCCGCCTTGGAGACTGTGCAAACGGACAGAAAGAACAGATTGAAAAGATACATCTTCCGAAAGGAAGGGGGCGATGTTTGCCTCCTGGTGCTCCCCTGGGGGTCCTCCGGGGCTGCCTCGGGCGCCTCCCAGCCTGCCTTGGAAGCCTCTGGGGCCACCCTGGGGCTCGCTTGGGGTCCTCTTGAGCGTCTCTGAGCTGTCTTAGGGGCCGTTTTGGGGCATCTAGGGACCCCCCGGAGCGGTCTCGGAGCGCCCGGGGGACTCGCAGGGCACCCCAGAGGGCCCGTGGGGCCTTTCGAGACAGAGGGCATTCTCGCACGCAAAAATCGCTGCCTTATAGAAGAGACGACGTTGGGTTCCAGCTTCGCGTCCCACATTTTAGCTCAGCAGTGCCAACGCCAGCTCCCACTGCCCGCCCTTGTCGCACGCGCTGATCCCAGCGCTGTAGCTGACTAGCCTGTCGTATCGTCTCTCCGCAGCAGAGCGACGATCGCAGGTCTGTAACTGGCTGCGTTGGGCTGTAACTTCGTCTCCCCCACATCTCACTCAGCAGCGCTAGGACCCGCTGCCACTGCTCGTCCTTCGCGCACGCGCTGAACCCAGCATTGTAGCTGGTGACATGGGCTCCAGCTTCGGCTCGCACATCTCGCTGAGCAGCGCCCGAGCCCGCTGCCAGCGTTGAAGATGCCAAAAAAACCTGTCGCATCGCTTCCGCGCAACAGAGCGACAATCACAGGGCTGTAGCTGGCTGCGTTGGGCTCCAGCTTCGCCTCCCACATCTGACTCAGCAGCGTAAGCGCCCGCTGCCAACGCTCGCTCTTCTTACACGCACTGATCCCAGCGCTGTAGCTGATGACGTCGGGCTCGAGCTTCGCCTCCCACATTTCGCTCAGCAGTGCAAGCGCCCGCTGCCACTGCCCGCCCTTCTCGCACGCGCTGATCCCAGCGCTGTAGCTGACTAGGGCTGACCCGTGGACTCCGTCCACGACATCTTCTCGAGCGTGTTCGCCTGGCCTGCGGGCGGGGGCGGGGGGGGAGTGGACTCGGGGGGGAGCAGAGGGCGACGCCGTCGACGACGTCGACTCGGAGTCCGACGACTGACGACGACGGACGACGACGACGACGACGACGACGACGACGACGACGACGACGACAGCGACGATCACGACGACGACGACGACGACGACGGCAGACGAAGACGACCCAGACGGCGTCAAGGACGCGACGTCGACGACGATACCGACGACGCCACGACGACGTCGACGACTACGACGGCCACGACAACCACGATGACGGGCACAGTGACGGCGTCGGCGGCCGCTGCCCGGCGACGATGCGGCGGCGGCGACGCCTGCTACGACGACGCCACAACGACGACGACCGCGACCACGACGACGGCGACAACCGCGGGAGCCATCCTTCTCTCTTCCCTCATCTCTGCGCTCGAGGCCGCCCCGCGCCTCGAGCTTCCCTCCCGGGCGAGCGCGTCGTCGTCGTCGCCGATGCCGCCCGCGCCGCCACCGTCGTCGTCGTTGTCGTCGTCGTCGTCGTCGTCGCCGTCGTCGTCGTCGTCGTCGTCCTCCTCGTCGTCGGTCGTCGCCGTCGTCGTCGTCGACGTCGTCATCGTCATCCATGGTCGCCGTCGTCATCGTCGTCGTCGTGTCGTCGTCGTCCTGATCGTCGTGTTCGCCGTCGTCGTCGTTGGCGTCCCCGTCGTCATCATCGTCGTCGTCGTCGTCGCCCTCAACGTCGTTGTCGTCATCGTCGTCGGCGCCGTGTCCCCCGTCTCCCTCTTCCTCCTCCTCCTTCTTCTCTCCCTCTTTCTCTTCCCTCTCCCTGCTCGCGCTGACCGGCGTCGTCCTGGATCCCCGGAAGATGGCGACGAAATCTGTCTGAAATGGTTCTCAAAGGAGCGGCGGAGGAGGGCGGGAACGGAGCTTGAAGCAGGAGCGCTAGATGGGGCGCTACGGATGGCCTGTCGGTGCATGCGCGTATGTCATGACATGGATACGCTCGGGGGTGGGTGGCTGTTCTCCTGGCACACGGGATGAGAGTGGATGAACCACGGGAGCGGCCAGGCTTGCCTCGGTGCATGGAGCTGTCGGCACAGGGCCTAAGTGCCGTCCGGGGGGGCTGGAGCGCCTCGCGCGGGGCGGTGCCACCGCGCGGGCATTCCTCGGCGCGCCGAGCTCCATGGACGGAGGGAGCAGGAGCCGCGAAGACAGCAACGGAGTGCACCAGAGGCGGGGGTTGAGAGGGGGACAGAGGGGGGAGCATGTCGTAGCCGCGGGCCTCCGCGGACGCGCGCGCCTCGGGCCCGATGGCAACGCCCGCAGTGGAGGCGTGCAGGAGCGGTTGCCGCGTCGTCGAAAAAATCAAACCAGCTCGCCCGTCGCCGGTCTCCTGCCAGCGGTAGAGGGAAGGCATTCGGCATCTCTGGGAGGGATTGTGTGCAGGAGGGGGGGAGGTGGAGGGATGGCGGGGCGGCTGGTGCGCCGCGGGCGCGCGCTTCAGAACGCGTTGATGTAAATGTTGCCCCGACCTTCGAATTCCGCGAGCAGCTCGCGCGCCGGGCCCGCTTCAGGGACCGTCTCCCAATCCACGCGCACGTGCGCGATCATGTTGTTCAGCACGCTGGAGAACACGTTCAACACGACGGTCTTGTTGGCCGCGACGGAAAGGTCGGAGTTCGCCATGGGGAGGATGCGGAGGTCGGGGCTGTTCTGGTCGTCGCTGCGGGGCACTCCGGCGGCGTCGAGGCGCTTGCGGAACGGGTACGTCCTGCCGCCCCAACCAATGGACGCGGCACTTTCGGAGATGATCTGGACCTCGACGTCGATGATCCTCGCGGAGTTCGGCGGGCTCGCAGTGAAGATGCCGAGGGGCAAGGCCTTGGCGGGGTCGTTGACCGCCGTGGTGATGCGCAAGCCGTCCTGGGGGGGGTAGACGTCGAACTGGACAGGGTTCGCGCGGTGCACCTCGACGGCCATTGCGGACAATGGCGGCCATGGGCGCTCGTCGATACTGCGCGGGTTGGTGGCCCTGTAGCGGAAGAAGCCGTCGAGCAAGAGCAGCATGTTCTGCAGGCGGGACATGTCCCCCGCAATCCACGCAGTGATTGCGCACTGCTCGAGGGGCAGCTGCATGAAATGGTCGGTTGCTTTTTTGCTGATGTGCAACCACGTGTCCTCCACATCCTTGAGCTCCTGGAGCGTGCTGGGGGCGGCCGCGTTCTGGTTGTGCTCGGCGCGCAGGTAGTCCGTGAAAGCGGCGATGATCTGAGCCTCAACTGAGGGCCACGCAGGGTGGTGGATCCGCACGCTCCACAGAGGCGCATCGGGGAGCGTGTCGCGGGAATCACTCGCCATGTCGGTGTGATTCGCGATGCAGAACTTGATGGGGGCATTCGCAGGCTTCTCCTCCCGGCGCTGCTGTGGAGGGGCTGCAATCTGCTGAGCCATCGCACGCAAGTCGCGTTGCGGCGGCTGGCGTGGCACGGGGGGGCCTGCTTTGCCAGCTCCTTTGGCAGCCGCGCCACCATGCGCCCCAGCCCTCGCGCGGACGTTGCGGGGGGAGTAGCCTGCGCTCGCGCTCATGGCGCTGCTGGGGGGGAGTCGGTCTGGCCGGCGTAGGTGTCAGCGGCTGGGCGTGAGAAGCGGCCTCGCTTGAGCCTTACGTTTGTGTGCTTGTTCTGTTTGTTGGAGAGTCAGTGAGGACTGCTTGTCGTGCCAGTGGCAAAGTTACACAGGAAAGGGCAGGCGCCGGGAACCTGAGACACCAGGGAAGTCTTTGGACTCTCTTTGGGCGCCCCCGGGATCCCGTGGGTGCTCTGTCGGAACTCGCAGAGGGGCCAGGACAGCGAGGGAGATCTCCCGAGAGAGCCGAAGAGGCGGCCAGGAGGGCCTCATCGAAGCCCCGAAAAGGGCCCATGACGCATGTACTTGGGCGCCTCCCTCGCAAAGACAAGAGGCAGATCAAGTCGAGCGCCCCTTCGACGAACATGACAGAATTGAACAGATCAGAACACGAGAACAGCATCCCCCCTCGCTCTTGGATATCCCGCGTCGTTCTTTGGAGATCCGACGTGTTTTTTTTGTTGTTTGAGAATCCGCCGCCCTCCATCCGTGTAACTGATGCAGCGTGTAGGAACGGAGGGGCGTCTTCCATAGCGGCCCAGCACCCCGCGGCACACGGGCGAGCTCGGCTCGCCCGGCACACCCGCCCAAGCGGACCTTCGCGAAGCTAGGCCGCCCTGGAAGACGCCCCACCGCCCGGAGTCCTGTCACGCGGCACCCCGCGAGGCAACCATGATGGATTTGGCAACAATGGGTGCCCCCCGACGCATCGAAGCCAAGATGCCGTCATTTTTGTGACCAAATCCCTCTGACGGCCTCTCGGGACCGATCACGTTGAAAATGGCAATAATGACTGCCCCCCGACGCATCGAGGCCAAGCTGTATTCATTTGTGTGACCAAATCCTTCTGACGGCCGCTCAGGGCCGATCGCGCTGCCGTCGTCGTCGTCGTCGTCCTCGTCGTCGTCGTCGTCGTCGTCCTCGTCGTCCTCGTCGTTCTCGTCGTCGTCGTCGTCGTCGCCGTCGTCGTCGTCGTCGTCCTCGTCCTCCTCCTCCGCCTCCTCGTCGCTGCGCGCGTCCGCGCGCGCGCCCGCGCGCGCGCGTGCGGGGGGGAGGTGGTGGTTGGAGCCGTTTTACCTGGCATGGCTGCTGCGCTCTGCCGCTGGCGCCCACTGAAGGCGATGAACTCCAAAGTTTGCCCCCTGACGGCCTCTCGGGGCCGATCACGATGAACATGGCAATAAAGAATGCCCCCCGACGCATCGAGGCCAAGCTGTTTTCATGTGTGTGACCCATTCCCTCTGACGGCCTCTCGGGGCCGATCGCGCTGCCGTCGTCGTCGTCCTCGTCCTCGTCGTCGTCGTCGTCCTCGTCGTCCTCGTCGTCCTCGTCGTCGTCGTCGTCGTCGTCGCCCTCGTCGTCGTCGTCGTCGTCGCCGTCGCGGGCAGAGAGGAGGCGCGGGCGAGGAAAGATAAGTGCCGAATTGCGAAACCGGGCTGCATTTTTTTCGCGCTCGCGAAGCCCGTTCCCCGCGGGCCCGCGGCCCTGGCCAACCGCGCCCGCGCCTCGCGCATGGCGCGTCGCGGCGAGCCCGCCGCTCTGGGGGGGAGTCCGAGGGGGATCCGTCCGCTGCTTCAGCGTGCCGGCCACCGAACCCACCCGAGAGGGGAGCGGGATTTGGAATGCACCTGCCAAAAAACACGGCCTAGGGATGCGCTCCGGGAACACGGAAAGATCGGAAAAACAAGCCGGCGGGGCCCCGGGGAAAGTCGGGCCGTTTCCCGGACGCCGCCCCGAAAGTCGCCGGGGGCAGCCTCGGGACGCCGGAACCATGTGGGGAAACACAGCTGCGTTTCCCCACATGGTTCCGGCACCCGTCCGCCGCGCTGAGACGGCCCGGGACCGCCCCCGGGGCACGTGGGACAGCTGCCGGGCGCACCCCAGGACGTCGGAGCAGGGCCCGGCGGGGCCCTGGCCAAGACTCAGGTCGCTCCGGACACACGCAACGGGCCGCCGGGGCTGGGGGCGGGGCACCAGCAGACCAGGTGGGAAACACACCCGCGTTTCCCCACATGGTTATGGTCCCTCGGGCGGTGGCCAGGAGTGCCCGGGTCGCCACGGGGAAGGCAGGACCGCTCCCGGAGGGCCCTCCAGGATGCTCCGGGGGCTGCTCCAGGCGCGGCAACCATGTGGGGAAACACAGCTGCGTTTCCCCACATGGTTTCGGAATCAGGCGGGGCTCTCTGGCAGGGGCAGGAAGGGTTCCCAGGGAAGCCAGGGTTCCCCTTCGCTCGGGTTCGGGTTCGGCGGCCAAGCGGCCTGGTCCTGGAGGG